TCCCTATCTACCGCATCAGTGATCTGACAGACTATCTCAAGCCAACCAAAGATCTTAGGGTCCTAGAGACTTTTCAAAATAGGAGCGACAAACCATGCACCATCAATGCAATGGGAGCGGAAGCAGTTGACAACTGAGTATACAGGATTTAGGGTTGAGAAACAAGACCCCTACCGAAGACCAGACAAGCTGAATCCGACCATCTTGGGCGCGGCTCTTTTTTCATTCAAAGTCAGTTCAGTCCCGGCACGAGCTCTGAATTTGCTGCGTTTGCGCGCGCTGCTGCTGAGTGACGGGGCATGCTTCTTTCTTTTAAGTTATGGATCGCACAAAAGTGAGGTCAAGACTTCTCTAGAACTGGGTCGCTTTGGAAAGCAAAATAGTCTTGAGGCTTTGCAGGTCTCAGCTGCGAAGGATACATGAGCCTAAACATCTCTCATACCTGTGGGGCTCTGAGTCCAGTCCTTGGATCTGCTCAAAGCCTAGTGCTAGTGTAGGGGCCTAAGAAGTTTGAAAAGAGCTTCAGGGTACACAGTGATAGAGGGTTAACTAACTTCACTGTTCTGGCATCTGCAGCATGTTATTGCATCCCGGCAGAACCCGAAGGTAACTAAGCCCAAGCTAGCCTAAGACCAGGACTGGATCTTCTGGTCCACATGTCTTCAGAAGACTTAGTCACTGCTGACTTTTGGGGTTCTAGTACTACTTAGAACCCCTGTGACTGGCCTGGTATGAATTCCCCCAGATTAAAATCGTAGGTAGAGCTGCAGCTATGGCTCCACTGCAACCTAGATGCCTGGCCCTAAGAACCGGACATGGGATACCACCCATGTGTCAGGCTGCTATGACAGCCGACCCCGAATCACTCACCGCACGCCATGCCATGTGTGTACGCGGTCTGGAAAGGACACCTCCTTTAAGTTTACCAAAGAGTATCTTAAAGGTCCTGTTTGAAGGGTGATTCTTCACAAGAACAGAAGCTGGTCTCAGGAGACTGCGAGGGGTTGAGAAAGGTTATCACACCTTCGCAACTGTCGCATGGATTGGTAGCAGCTCTTGCGCACTGCCAGGCATTAGCCTGGAACATCCATCCACCCAACAGCCAACCCAAACCTCCTTTCATAGCCCCTTAGACTTCGAACTTCCAGGGCTGTATTAGGGCCGAGAACACCAAGCAGCGCAAACTCCACAACAAGGCTTCCTCCAAGCATAGCCTAATTTCATGGTCATGTCCTGAACATGGATGAGTTTCGATTTGAGGTGTGTGCGTGTGCCTTGCGTGCATGACCAGGCAACGTAATATTAGATAGGAGGGCTTGGGGTGTAATGATGCTGACCCTTGGCGTCCCTTGGTGCTTCATCTTTTATGGGCTTCCGGAGAACCGCTGGTATCAACACCCTCCAGTGTTTCGTGTGGCATCCCACTTGGTAAAGACCGCCAGCCAATGCTTTGAGAGGGCCCCCAAGGCTCCTCCTGCCCAGCAATGTAACTCAACTCCCAACATCCTGAACAGGGACCAAGTGGTAGCTGCGACTGTACCATACCCTCAGAAAGCCCCGATATAAGAATCCTAGCTCCCCCCTGCATATTACAAGCAAGAGAATCTTTGCTGGCAAGGGTTCAGGGCTAGGGTTTGGTGTTGCAGGGCAAAAGCATCAAAACCAAAGCCTTCGAAGTGCCTACGGCTCCCAACGGCTAACAGCAACAGTCCCCTGAACTCCAACAGTCATACTATCCCTTTCACTCTTTTTCACTCCCGTAACATACTCACAAAAAATACACCCGTTTGAGTGTCCTGGAAGAGCCTTTAGAGAAGAAAGTGCGAACCATTGTCTCGCGCCGCTCCGCTCTACGCATTTCCGCACCCGGAGACCCGTCTGGCTATAGGTCAAGTGGGCAAGTCCTTCGGTTTCTGCTTTCCAGACATGGGCTTGGGAATGCCCGGGACAAACAGGGATCCCCCTTGCACCACAAATGGTCACCAAGCTTCAGAGTGAGCCCACCGCACGCCATGCAACAGGCTTCGGATCAAGTCTACTACAATGCCTGTGATCAACACGCAACCCTTGAATAATCTATTTGTTGGCGCCAAGCAAACAATCTCATAGCTTTACGCATGTGTTCTTACCGGACGGGAGTCTTCGATTGAACCATGGTTTTTATTCTATATAACTTCATTACAGAAACTACCCCTTCCGCAAGCCCTTCTGCGATCCTTCCGAGAGTAGTGCTTGTAGTCTGTTTTGCTTCCGCCTTCCGCGGCTGCTTCCGCGAAGGTATTTCGGCTGAATTTCGGGATCTGCT